CCCTCCCTCATCAGACCCTCCCTCCCTCATCAGACCCTCCCTCCCTCATCAGATCTTCCTCTGACAACCATCATGTCTGATATTAAAAAACTGTTTAACTGTCTGGTTTAATAGATTTTGATCTTTTCAAATATATTTTTCAGCCTCACTGAGGAGTAAAAACAAAATGTTTCATCCCAGATTCTCAACAATGAGTGAAAACTGTGACACTAACCTGTGAGATGAGCGACAGGTCGGACTGATGTAATAAATATACAGAGTGTTATTATTATTATTATCACAGGTTTCATGTAATGTACCAGAGAAAAGTCTTCAGTGATGAAGATGAACGGTTCATTTCACACCTGTGTTACAGCAGGTTTGTGTCTCTGTGGGAGGCAAAGCGCTGATGCTGCGTTCAAGTCAAATGGGACAAATGGTGGAGGTTCAGAGAGGTGACGACGACAACAGAGTTAAAAACACTGAGAACTTTGTATTTGTCAGACTGATGCTTGTGTCAGATGTTGGATGCTGAAGTGAACTCTAATAATTACAGTCACTCATGTGACATGAACGCAGCATTAACATCACTGTTTGTGACTGTAACTGAATATTTCTGACGTCTGTGAATGCAACAGCACTGAGCGGAAGCTTGTGGTGCCTTCATGAACACAAAACAGATTTTGTAATATTGGCTGTATAAATATGAATATGAATGTATGAAGATGATATTAAAGACTTCCTGTTGAACGAAACAAACACACCTGCTGTTCTGTGCTCTCAGCCCTCAGTCCTGTCTGTCAGGAAGCAGCAGCTCTGCTCTCAGTGCGTCTCACAGTAGGACTCTCAGGTGTTCCAGGTGTGCTGCTGCTGCGTTACCTCTCTGTCGTCACAGTGACTGTCGCTAGGCAACTGAGCACCTCGGAGCTGCAGCAGCTGCTGTCGACCTGCTGGAGGAAAGGCTGATAGACAGACAGACAGACAGACAGACAGACAGACAGGTGAACATCTTCAGAGAGGACAGTTGGTCTGAGACAAACAGCAGTGGGCAGGTAAACTCACCTGCAGGTCTCCATGACAACAGGCATCCAGCAGTTTGAGGCAGAGAGACGTTTGATTCATCAGCTTATGTCTCACTGAGTCACTGAGCTCAGAGTCTGAGGACACGTCAACCAGCAACTTCAACAGGCAACGCAGCAACACGCCAACTCGACACTCCATCCTGAGAGACAGAGACAGAGTTAGAAACAGCAGCAGTTCCTGTGTTCGGCCTGCAGAGGTCAGACTTGAGTTTGTGTTTTTAATCTCCACAGATTTAAAAACACCTCCTGTAGACCATGTGTGACTTTACTTTGAAAGGACAGACACAGGAAGTGTCCACGCTCAGCAGTCAGACAGGAGTCAGGTTAATCTCCAGGGCTGGTACCTGCGGTTATTCCACAGGCTAGTTAATAACATGTCGGGCAGGAAATCCAAAGTGTGGGATCATTTTGAGAAGGTGAAGGACGAACCCAAGGTGATATGTAAACTCATCTTCATTGGTCGACTACAAACATGACGTATCATCTGAAACATGGAAGTAGCTACATGCCCATTAGCCCACAGCGTCATTAACAGGCGGCTCGCTCAGTGTGTGACGTGCACTTGGAGATAAAATATAGGCCTATATTAATGAAGGTTCATTAGTACGGTTTGTATTTCTCTGTAATGTAGCACAGTGTTAACAATGTTACTGATACTATTCTTTCTCACACCTTCAACTCAAACCACCAAAATATATCATTTAATCATTACATTCATATCAGAAACATGCAGGAGACTAGTCCACTGATGGACCCTGATGAGGACTGTCGGTCCACTGATGGACCCTGATGAGGACTGTCGGTCCACTAGGAACAGTCTCAGTCGGGGGGGCAGCCGTAGTGTTTAGTTGCGCCACATTCACAGGGACGGGCTGAATTTGTATTAAGTGTCCTGGAGGAGCTGATCTCTCGGGGACAGACTGTTTGCTGGTGGATTTACGGAGCGGAGGATGAAGTGGTTGGAGGCTAAAACTACAAATGACAGACTTTTTGTCTCATGACCAGGGCTGGCGAGCTCACGACCATCAGGACTGTGACTCATCATCTCCAAAGAGCAGCCGCAGCTGCCAGTGTATTTTGTATTTTTCTTTACGTAGGTGGAGTCACTGAGAGAACCCTGCAGTTTATTCTGACATCACGTTGGTGACATTCTGATGTAAACAAAGCGAGCCAATGATGTCACTGAGGGTCCTCACAGATACGTGTGTGTGTGTGTGTGTGTGTGTGTGTTCTGACCGTGGCCATGCTGCTCTGATGGTTTTCTCCAGGACTTCCAGGATCTTGAGTCGACTCGTCTCCTCAGGTGGGTCTCTGACCTCCAGGTATCCCAGCACCACCCGCTCCAGCCGCCGCAGGTGTCTGCACACGGCCACGCCCATCCTGACCCCACACAACAAAACAAACACACCCTGAGACTCTGCTGCAACACAGCTGACTCCACCCGCCTGCTGCCTCCAGGAGTGCACGTCAAACGCTCCTACCTGTCGATGTACGGAGGGAGAGCGGTGGCGTAGACATGTCGCAGAGCCACCTTGTGCTCCGCCTCCATGTGAGTCAGGACCAGACGCAGCACATCGTCATGACGACAGGGCTTCCTGCAGGAGGAGGAGGAGGGGGGGGCAAGAGACGAGGGGGGCTTCTCCAAAACCAACAACAGGTCCAACAAACAGGACAGAACAGACTGCAGAGACAGGGAGACAGACAGGTACAGAGAGACAGACAGACAGACAGATGGATCCTTATATGAAGCTGATAAATTTACATGTTGGTGAAGTGAAGAAATATCAAACCTGTCTGAGGTCGATTTGTGAACTCAACATGTCTCCAGCTGCAAGTTGATATACTGTGTGTGTGTGTGTGTGTGTGTGTGTGCGCGCGCGTGTGTGTGTTACCTGGATGACAGCAGCCTCTGTAGTGTACAGGTGTTTGAATAAGGCCTGGTAGAGAACTTCTGCTCTGTTGAACTGACGCAGGTCTGCAGCAGGCTGAACACATCATCATCATCTTCATCAACAAATGCATTACAATCATGTAAATGAAAGTGACAGAGCTGCTTCCTGTTCAGTGTCAGAAACATGTGTGTGTGTGTGTGTGTGTGTGTGTGTGTGTGTTCTCACCGTGTTGAGCACGATGTGGTGCAGACAGCGAACTCCCAGCATGCAGTTCTCTGGTCTGTAGTGGTCATTGAGGAGGAGTGAGGGGGGGAGGAGGTGGGACAGGTGAGGGGACAGAAAGGGACGAGTCACCTGCACACACACACACACACACACACACACACATTCAGGTTTCAGTCAGGCTGAAGTTTAAACAGGAATATAAAGAAAAGAATCAAGTACTTCAAACTTGTACTTGAGTAAAAGTACTCAGTTACATTTCAGTACTGCAGATTGTAGACTTCTGAGGGCCTGTGTCCACAGTGTCTTATTCAACTGTTCCTAATGAGCAGTGTGTGTGTGGGCTGCTCAGACAGGAAGTGCTGCACCCAGCATCTCTCAGAGTGTGACGTACATGTGCGTTCCCTCCCAACACGTCTACTTTGAACTTTACTGAATCTTTGATGACATCACAGCTGAACAAAGGTCAAACTGACCTGCAGGAGCGTCCACGCAAACACCACCTTCACTGCTTCACAGCGCTGCCACGACTCCCTGAAACACACACACACACACACACACACACACAGACTGTAAACAGGAAGTGAGGACAGCGTCTCCAGGAGGACAAACAGAAATTCAAACGTTGTGATGTCAGATCCTCACTTTGTCAGCTGAGGCTGCAGGACGTCCAGGACTCCTCCCAGAATTCCTCTGCTCCTCCCTCCCCCCTCCTCCTCCTCCTCCTGACTCCTGTCCCCCATCAGGAGGTGGGCCGAGTCTCTCCAGCCCCCTGCCCTCAGCAGCGCCTCCTGCAGGCTCTGAGCCGCCACTCTGGACGAGGAGCTGGTCCACGGCTGAACCTGAACACACACACACACACACACACACACACACACACACACACACACACAATGACTTCCTGCTCGTTGACTTTTACATCAGTATAAACATGACTAGAAACCAACTTTTGTCTGAAACGTAAGAAAAGACTCGACACACGAGTCGCTGGATCACCTGACTCGTAGCAGAGACCCTGAACGTGTCACACACACCTGTACTGTTTTCCCGTCAGACTCACCTGGAAATGAGTGACAGAGAACACACAGATGGGCGGAGCCACAGCCAGCAGCACACCAGTCTGACTGCCTCTGTTTCCCAGAGTTCCCAGCAGCGCTGTGAGGGCGGAGCATACTGCTCCAGCTCTGCTTGGGACGCTCTGATAGGCTGCGGACGGCAGAGAGCCACAGTCGTCCTCGCAGAGCGGCAGAGCTGCACAGCCAATCAGAGCACGGACCAGAGAGCTGTACGCCACCTGAAGCTCCGACCACCCATCATCCTGACTGGCTGAGAACAGCCAATGGGGATCTGCTACTTGGAAGAAACGCTCAACACGACCAATCAGGGAGCTCGTTTCAGAGTCGGAGGACGAACCAATCAGCTTCTCCTGCAGCCGAGAGAGGAGCTCTGTGATTGGAGGAAGGGAGGGAGAGGGGAGGAGCTTCTCTGAGGGGGAGGAGGAGGTGAGATGAAGGTCATGAAGTAAAGATGAAAGCTCCATACTGAAGGAGGAGGTGAGGAGGAAGATGATGGGAGGTGAGGAGGAAGATGATGGGAGGAGAGGAGGAAGACGATGGGAGGAGAGGAGGAGGATGATGGGAGGAGAGGAGGAAGATGATGGGAGGAGAGGAGGAAGATGATGGGAGGAGAGGAGGAAGATGATGGGAGGAGAGGAGGAGGATGATGGGAGGAGAGGAGGAGGAGGATGATGGGAGGAGAGGAGGAGGATGATGGGAGGAGAGGAGGAAGATGATGGGAGGAGAGGAGGAGGATGATGGGAGGAGAGGAGGAGGATGATGGGAGGAGAGGAGGAGGATGATGGGAGGAGAGGAGGAAGATGATGGGAGGAGAGGAGGAGGATGATGGGAGGAGAGGAGGAGGATGATGGGAGGAGAGGAGGAGGATGATGGGAGGAGAGGAGGAAGATGATGGGAGGAGAGGAGGAGGATGATGGGAGGAGAGGAGGAGGATGATGGGAGGAGAGGAGGAGGATGATGGGAGGAGAGGAGGAAGATGATGGGAGGAGAGGAGGAGGATGATGGGAGGAGAGGAGGAGGATGATGGGAGGAGAGGAGGAAGATGATGGGAGGAGAGGAGGAGGATGATGGGAGGAGAGGAGGAGGATGATGGGAGGAGAGGAGGAGGATGATGGGAGGAGAGGAGGAAGATGATGGGAGGAGAGGAGGAGGATGATGGGAGGAGAGGAGGAGGATGATGGGAGGAGAGGAGGAGGATGATGGGAGGAGAGGAGGAAGATGATGGGAGGAGAGGAGGAGGATGATGGGAGGAGAGGAGGAGGATGATGGGAGGAGAGGAGGAGGATGATGGGAGGAGAGGAGGAAGATGATGGGAGGAGAGGAGGAGGATGATGGGAGGAGAGGAGGAGGATGATGGGAGGAGAGGAGGAAGATGATGGGAGGAGAGGAGGAGGATGATGGGAGGAGAGGAGGAGGATGATGGGAGGAGAGGAGGAAGATGATGGGAGGAGAGGAGGAGGATGATGGGAGGAGAGGAGGAGGATGATGGGAGGAGAGGAGGAGGATGATGGGAGGAGAGGAGGAAGATGATGGGAGGAGAGGAGGAGGATGATGGGAGGAGAGGAGGAGGATGATGGGAGGAGAGGAGGAGGATGATGGGAGGAGAGGAGGAAGATGATGGGAGGAGAGGAGGAGGATGATGGGAGGAGAGGAGGAAGATGATGGGAGGAGAGGAGGAGGATGATGGGAGGAGAGGAGGAGGATGATGGGAGGAGAGGAGGAGGATGATGGGAGGAGAGGAGGAAGATGATGGGAGGAGAGGAGGAGGATGATGGGAGGAGAGGAGGAGGATGATGGGAGGAGAGGAGGAAGATGATGGGAGGAGAGGAGGAGGATGATGGGAGGAGAGGAGGAAGATGATGGGAGGAGAGGAGGAGGATGATGGGAGGAGAGGAGGAGGATGATGGGAGGAGAGGAGGAGGATGATGGGAGGAGAGGAGGAAGATGATGGGAGGAGAGGAGGAGGATGATGGGAGGAGAGGAGGAAGATGATGGGAGGAGAGGAGGAGGATGATGGGAGGAGAGGAGGAGGATGATGGGAGGAGAGGAGGAGGATGATGGGAGGAGAGGAGGAAGATGATGGGAGGAGAGGAGGAGGATGATGGGAGGAGAGGAGGAAGATGATGGGAGGAGAGGAGGAGGATGATGGGAGGAGAGGAGGAGGATGATGGGAGGAGAGGAGGAGGATGATGGGAGGAGAGGAGGAAGATGATGGGAGGAGAGGAGGAGGATGATGGGAGGAGAGGAGGAAGATGATGGGAGGAGAGGAGGAGGATGATGGGAGGAGAGGAGGAAGATGATGGGAGGAGAGGAGGAGGATGATGGGAGGAGAGGAGGAGGATGATGGGAGGAGAGGAGGAGGATGATGGGAGGAGAGGAGGAAGATGATGGGAGGAGAGGAGGAGGATGATGGGAGGAGAGGAGGAAGATGATGGGAGGAGAGGAGGAGGATGATGGGAGGAGAGGAGGAGGATGATGGGAGGAGAGGAGGAGGATGATGGGAGGAGAGGAGGAAGATGATGGGAGGAGAGGAGGAGGATGATGGGAGGAGAGGAGGAAGATGATGGGAGGAGAGGAGGAGGATGATGGGAGGAGAGGAGGAGGATGATGGGAGGAGAGGAGGAAGATGATGGGAGGAGAGGAGGAGGATGATGGGAGGAGAGGAGGAGGATGATGGGAGGAGAGGAGGAAGATGATGGGAGGAGAGGAGGAGGATGATGGGAGGAGAGGAGGAGGATGATGGGAGGAGAGGAGGAAGATGATGGGAGGAGAGGAGGAGGATGATGGGAGGAGAGGAGGAAGATGATGGGAGGAGAGGAGGAGGAGGATGATGGGAGGAGAGGAGGAGGATGATGGGAGGAGAGGAGGAAGACGCTCATTAAAACAGTCACAGTTGCTGATTTTAAGCTCAGACTGAAAACATTTATTAAAAACAACGCCATCGGTCAAATGAGTTGTTTTATTGTCAAACTGTGACGTCATGGCTCCTCAGATGATCTTTGTCCTCACTGGTTCTAATGGGTTTTCCTGACATGGATCCTGAACCAGTGCTGAACCTAAACCAGTGGCTCAGCTGCTCCAGGTTTCTCCTCAGTGTGAGGTCCACACACTTTAATATATTCAGCATCACACTGAGCTCGGGTCACCTTCTGCAGCCTTCTGTGATGAAGTTTTGTTAAACTGTAAATCTCGTATGAATCCTGAGAGATGTGCTCACACACAGTCGCAGTGCAGTGACGTCAGAATGAGCCTGGAACACGCTCAGTTTGAGAGTTAGCTTCTGAGCTAACGGAGCTAACGGTCTAAACTAACGTTAGCTTCAGACACTCCGAGACAAACATTACAAACAAACAAACCTCAGTACACACATAACAAACAAACAAACAAGCGTGTCTCATTTTCCAGGTTGTAAACAACAACCCTGGTTGTTTAGACTCGTATTAAACGGACCGTTAGCTTCAATGTTTATTTGTTTGTTTGTTTGTGTAAACATTTTAAATTCATTCACTCACCGAGCAGCTGATGTTTCTTCCATCGACAACAAACAACAGATTTTACTTCATTAACCTTCGTCACATTCGCGGCAAACACACTGAAACTTCCGGAAGTTTTACCGAGCGGAAGTGTGTGTTCGCTTTAATACTTCCGGCCGGTATCAGCTCCATGTGAAAGGTTCCGCTCCCGGAAATGTTTTTTTAAATATTTTTTTATTCTTGATTGAGCAAACATAAGTACATTAATATTATATACACACAGAAGTAACCATACTTCTTTTTCAGGAAAATAAAATCAATTATTTATTGTTAGTTAATGTCACTTTCTTTTATTGCTCTGTGTCATTTAAAGGGAGCTGACAATAATTATCAGTGTTAAAGGGTGAGTGTAATGAACTAAAGCTTCAGCCTTTACCTGTTGGCCCCGTTTTTGTTTTTAGTGCTAAAAAAAAAATTAACATAATGTTTATTTTCTGTCTATCTATCAATGTATTTGAGTTTTATAAGTTGGAAATGACTGAAATAAACTAAAACAAAAATTATCTAAAACTAATTGTGCAAAAGAAATCTGTCTCTGCTTTATTACTTTCAAAACACAAAAAATGTTTATTTATGTCTGTTACTGAGTTGTTTGCCTGGTTTTCTTCTGATATAAAGTTATAAACTTTCACCCCAAATATTCTGGTTTACACACAGTGATGAAATAAGAACAATAATATTTAATATCGTGTCTAAATCTCTCCGATGTCTTTTTTTTTTTTTTTTTTTCTCACTATATTTGATGCATGAAACCTCTTTAACCCTATTATTAGACAGAATTTATCTCCCAGCTAGCCAAACTTTCTGCTTTTTTTTCTCAACTGTTGAGGATGATGAACCACCAGAACTGAATTTGTTCTTGTACTTGAATACTGTAATGTAATGTAATGTACTTAGTTACATTCAGCTCCCTATGTAGATATAAACATCTCATTCTGAGGGAACCAGAACACAACAATTCAGATTTTAAAATGATTAAAGAAAACATAACCATTAGATTTGATTCACTTTAAATTGACACACTGGAGCTTAAAATTTAACTAAATTAAAATAAATTAAAGTATAAATTAAAAAAAGGAGTCAACTCTGTGGTCATATTGAGACAGTGGCACAGAGAAAATAGTTCATTCTTTAAGGTGCCCGGTGGCTCAGTGAGTAGAGTGGCGTCCAATGAAAAAAGGTGAAGTCATCCCCACAGTGGTCACAGATTCAATTCCAACCTGCAGCCCTTTGCTGCAGGTCGTCCCCCATCATCATCCTCACTGTGACCTCGTCACATGTCCACGTTTGGTCATGGACTTTCCACGTCCACATATGACGTCCAAGGTACCCTGGGTGTGTTGGTTGTTGACGTTCTGTGACGCCGTGTCAACTTCAGCCTGTTACATGCATTGTCTGTTTTCAAAATACACTTCTGTTTTCACAGGAAATGCACAGTTTGATACAGTCTCTTTCAAAATAAAAGCACTACGTCAGGACAACACCGCCAACTGATGAATTTTTCCTTCAACAACACACACACGTGGTTGGGTTTATGAAAACAGAACAGGGTTAGGCATTAGAATCTTACAGAAAGTGAACACCGGCCTCCTGGGTGGTGTGGTCCACCCTACTGGGACTTTTGCCACCTTAACCTACGTTGTTGCCCGACTGCATTTTCATTTACATAATCGGCAGCATATCATGTCGACATGAAAGGACAGCTTTTGTGACTGACTGAGCACCAGTATTTGACAACTTTAGAGTGCTTAAAACTGTCCTGTCAGATAAAGACAAAAGACAAAAATCTTTAAAAAAAGAATTCTTTAATTAGGAATAAAAATTTTGTGGGTCTTTGTGTTGCTGCTTAAACACGAAATGAGACAAAACACACACCTGTGAATTTAAACTTTAACTAAAACATCCTAATTAACAACACAGATTTATTTCTGTGTCTGAAAAAATGAATTATGTGATTAAAATATCTAAAAACCATGATGATGTCACAGCTGAAGAGGCTTGAGTTCAGCTCAGTGTCCATGTTGAGACGTGTTGGACGGATCAGACGGTGTGATATCAAACAGAGTCACAGTGACAGACTGACATCAGACGGACTGCTGAGGTGTTTGTGGTGTTTGTGGGAAGATTAGCAGCAGATTAAAAACACATTTAAAATCTGATTTATTTCTCCTGTTTACCATAAATCAGCATCAGAGAGTCACTGAGAGAAAGACTGAAGAGTTCCCGACCTGTTTACACAGACACACACCACATCAGAGAGCAAACACACACACCTTTGATGACCACACGCACACACACACACACACACACACACACACACACACACAGATTAGCTGCGTTTATTCACATTTCAAAGTAGGAGGAAATGTTTTGAAGCTGCTGTCAGAGGATGTTATTAACACTCACTCAGTTATATTAACCACACACACACACACACACACACATTAGAATAGTTTTAAATTTTCAATTAGTTTTTATTTCATTTTAGTTTGTTTCAGTTTTTCAGACAGATTTATTCATTCATTTCCGTAACTGCTTATCATGCTGGGGGACAGACAACCATTCACACCTACGGACAATTTAGAGTCACCAATTGACCTATGGCTAAGCCACGCCCCCTCCACTCACTCAGACAAACTATCAACATTCAGTGAGCGGCGCTATGGCAGGTGTCACAGTACACGGCATTTCACAGGAGGCAACTGATGATTTTTGGGGACATAACGATCAGATGTCATTGAGGGGGTCATCCCTATGTTTCCCGGGTTCTATGTTCCCCGCTCAATCAAAAAGGGTTCTATGTTTCCCACTTGGTTAAGTGGGTAACATAGAACCTTTTTTTGTGTAAGTGGGGAACATAGAACCTTTGTTGTTGACTTACTTTAGAACAGATGTAGACATCATTGTTAATCTTATTCACATTGAGTTGATGTTGTGGTCTAACGTTACCACACAACTTTATCCAAAGGAGACACTTTTCTCGCTTGAGATGTGGTTTAAAGTGTAAAAATACACCTGGTCGCCCAGCCTCTCAGGATACCTTGTGTCAGAGTTGCATGTACCCCATGCACACCGTTTGACCATTTTTAAACTTCAAATCTCAGAAAAAGCTCATAAAACCGAACAAACTGACTTTCTGTAATGCATTTCAATGGACGTCCAGGCAGAGAATGTCCCAGTGTATGGGAATGGCTATACGCACTGTGATTGGCTCATCGCGTTTGAGGGCGGGACTTAGCCATAGGTCAATTGACCTGCATGTCTTTGGGCTGTGAGAGGAAGCTGGAGCACCTGGGGGAAACCCACGCTGACACAGGGAGAACATATCAGAGCACCTGGAGGAAATTGTAAAACTGCGATAGTAGCTAACTCAAAAAAGAAGAACAGCAGCTGTTAGCAGTTAGCGACTAACTCAAACAATGAGGTCCAGGAGCTCCTTACCCTCCGAGCAGAGGACGAGATCAGCCGCCATATAACAGGGACACTAAATGATTGTTATTGACATGTGATGTCATTGTTATTGTTTATAAAGACCTGCTGACACGTATGTTATATGTCACACTGGAGGCCGACACTGTTGTGTTTTATGTCACGCCTTTTTGATTCCACAATGCTGCCATGCTGTCTGACATCACACACTGAAGCCACATGATGCTGCTTTCATTTGGTTCTGTGTGAACCAGCAAAGGCGGCATAAAGAAGGGATTTTATAGCGACTCTGTGAAACCATCTCTGTGTGAAAGAGATTACGGAGAGTCGATGGAAATTCACACTGTCTCCTCGTGTCTTCAGTAGTGATGAATATTACAGCTAAAAAACTCAAATCCGCTGACTGAACAATGACTCGTCCTGTGTGATGTAACATCGTGTCTTTTGTATTCTGGCGGCTCGTATCAGAGCTAACGCTAATAACATCAGAGTGTGTGTTTGGTTCCTGTGACACGATTCTTCCTGATGTCTCCGGGAGCTTTTCATCCACTTCCTGTTTACGTTTCCATCTGACGGAGCTTCTATTTGTCCTGTTGTCATTTTCTCTGACGAACAAACGAGCCACCAGGAAATTAAAGAACAGATAAGAAGCATGTGAACACACACACACACACACACACACACACACATACGCAGGTTTCCACCCACATCCTTTTGTCAGCCTCACAGTCGTCAATGTAACATGTGAACACTGAGTCCTGGTGAGCACACATGCGCGAGCGCACACACACACACACACACACACACACACACACACACACACAGGTATTGTCATGGTAACAGCAGGGTTTAATGGTGACACAGGTCAGAGGTCAGATACAGACTCAGGTACAGTTTCACATCTCAACACTGAGGTTGACAAAAAAAAAAGATTATTGATGACTGAAGAGTTCCTTAAAACAAAATCACATTTACATGGAAACCTCCTTAATTAATGCCAAAACCCCTTAAAATAGTTAAGGGATTTATAAAAATAAAAAACTAATTATTATGATTATTTTTACATCAAACAAACTCCACAAATGATGACAAACTCAACCTTCATCTCAAATCCCCACATGTTCAGCATTTTTGTTAAAATATGAAAATTCAACTGAGAGGTTTTTCCACTAAAAAAAACTAGATGTGATGCCTATAAACACTAAAGTTGCTGAGATTAATTTTAACATAGTTGGCAAGCTAACGCTTAGCAAACGTTAGCTTAACAGCTTGATAACTTTTTAAAAAACTTGTTTTAACAAATTTGCATTCATGATTTTTGTAAATTTAAAATATTATTTCTATGTTATTAAAGTGACATTACATTTGTTTAAAAAAAAAACCTCATTATGACTAGAGAAAGACTTGAACTTGGCACTTGACTTGGGACTTGAGTGCAAAGACTTGAGACTTACTTGTGACTTGTGAAACAGTGTGTCTCTAATCTCATATTTCTGTACTAAACACTTGATATTCTGAGTGCACTAAGTGTGTTCACACTGCACAGTACAGGAAAACAGTGTATTACTAAAATGGTCCTAAACTACGGTCACCCTCACTGGTCGCCATCTTTGTGACGTAGCAAACGTCTCATCTTCTGACATGGCGGCTGAAGACAACAAGGAGCCTGAGCTGGCTACAGTGAACACCGCCGTGTTATACAGATGTTAGTTTGTCATGTTTTTACACTAAGAACCAAAACTGTTGTTGAATAGAAGCCGTCAGTGATGTTTGTTGGGTCTGTGATGATTTGGTACCATGAACAATAATGTGAGTAGCTAACGTTAGCTAACTTGCTCCTAGCTACGGCGGCACATTTTAATCAGCACTAACATCATGGTGTAAGTTTGGTTTATGTGTGAGACAACACGACCCTGTTGAAATGAATGCACCACACAGGAAGTACGTAGTGTTCAAAGTGTACTACACTGAAGTGCACTAACAGAAGTATGTGATTTGAGACACACGCAATAATTTGGCTCCACCGCTGGCGTTAGCTTACTCCATTATTTTGGTGGGTTACAGGTTAAATTTAAAAAGTCCCGCCCAGGACGGGAACCTCCACTGTGTTTGAGTTGGATGCTATCAGAGCTAAATCTAACTTTAGCAACTCTGTCCTGCAATACGTGTACAATGTTCTTTCCCATGTCAATGAGTAACTCATCGGTGGTGAGGATGATATTTCTTTTTACCTGGGACAGGTTTTTACTGCATCTTTACACAGTTCTCAGTCAGCAAGCTAACGTGTATTTAGCCATCAGATGCTTATTCCAGACCCGTTTGCTCACCAGACAGCCAGAGACTTTCATTTTCATTCTATGGAGCCAGCCAGTGGGTGACTGCAAGTCAGGCTGAAACTTACAGTTCATTTTATTATCAATTAATCTGCAGATTAATTTCTTTGACTCATTGTTGTTTCATCACAGCTTCACAGAAGTCAATGTAATGCAACTCATATTTGAGAAGTTGGTACCAGTACATTTTTGATGTAAAAAACAAAAGACTTAAATGATTAATCATTCAGCCAGTTGACAGAGTCATAGTTTTAAAATGAGTTTGTTTGCTTCTGTCTGAAATCAAGAACTCATTGTTTCATAAATAACTGAAGTCTTTAATATTAAATCTGGGACTGTTGTAGCAACACTCAGTCTGTTTCCATGATGACGTGACCATCACATCATATTGAAGGCGATCATTGCCTTCAATATGATGTGGTCACGTAGCCTGTCCATAATGATTAAATGTCACGCTGCTAGCTTGCTAACGTCAGCACACGTAACGTATGCTAACGTTATATTACACAGTGTTTAATGATACAGTCTGTTATCTCCCTATTCCTCTAATCTTTCCTGCTTATCGCTCAAACAAATGATTAATTTCTAAATTAATATTGGTACTCATTTAAGATACCTTCATCAGTTACCGGAGGCCACTGTCTAACATCATCAGTCCAGCTATTCATGATGCTGTCATTGTAGAGAGTCAGTTCACAATGACAGCATAATGAATTGATGACTGACACATGTCACCGCCTCAAGATGGCGGCATACACAAATCGCTCGCCGAATTCATCTATATAAATCCCTGTAAACATGTTATTGTGAGTGAAATGTTCCTGCAGTGAATGTGTCACAGTGGGACTAACACACCCAGATCACGTGACTCCTGCATGTATACAGTCAATCAGACCCAAACTGGCCGAGGCGCTCTGAGCATGCTCCACAGTTTCCGCCCCGGGCTTTGACCCGGAAGTCCAATAGCATTAAATGTGTAAGAGAAGAAGAAGCCGGTAACAACATGGAGAAATCTACATCCAGAGCCGTGACTTTTTGGACGGACCAAATGTACAGAGCTGTAAAGTTGTCCACCATGGTAGCAGTTAGCTGCTAGCTAACCGTAGCTAACTTGTTTGTCCATTGTTTGGTCTGTGACGTAATAGGTCAACAGGAAAAAGGTCCAATACTAACAAGCTGAAAGGGGGCATATCTCCACCTATCGTAGAGGAGTCGCACATACTTGGCTCAATAAATGGATTCCCCTCCCGTGCTTGTATACTGGGACAAGGACAGTAGGCCAGTTAGATGTCCTCGTCCAGCTGGAACTGGAGCTCCACTTTACTGGGACTGGAGACACACTGAGGGGGGGCGGGGCCTAGCAAACGGCCAGCAGGAGGAAATCGGGTGTCTTTTAATGGAAGTTGCATAAATGTGATCACATTAGTAACTCTGTAAACTGCCTCAGCGTCTGTGAGTTCATGACAACATGTCTTAGAGAACCACGACGCTCTGAAATGATGATTAATTAGATTTAATTAATAAGGAGGTGTATGGGGCTTTAATGCCAACACTGTCCCTTTAAAAAGTGTCTGTTTCTGTTCTGACTGTGTGATGACAGGAAGTCTGATGATGAAGGTGTTTGAAGAAGACAACATCACAACATGAACATCTTCAGGTGTGTGTGTGTGTGTGTGTGTGTGTGTGTGTGTGTGTGTGTGTGTCACTCCTCCGTCTCTTCTTCTTCGCTGTAGTCACTCAGAGGAAACTCACGACTCTCCTTCTGTGTGTTGTAGCTTTTCCTGTGCATCACACACTCCTGGTCGATGATCGCCTGCAACACACACACACACACACACACACACGCACACACGCACGCACACACACACACACACACACACACAGGATCAATGAAGAGTAATCTGTGTGTAATTGAGGTTTAATAAGTAGAAATGTTTCCTCTGCAGCTTTGAAGGCAGCAGCTTCTGATCTGTGATCAGTCTAATCACTGTGTAATGACTTCACACACACACACTTTGGCTTCAACATCACACACACTTCCTGCTGCTGTGTCAGGACCTGCCATGTGTGTGTGTGTATATGTGTGTTGACACAGAGTGTTTGGGGGAATCTGTTCAGGATGCAGCCACATTAAACTCTGCAGCTGTTCAGCTCTGAAGTAAACCCGCTGACATCATCTGTATTTCCTCTTAACAGAAGCGCAGCGTTTTCAAGTTTCTGACAGTAAATAAGAAGGTTTTCACATCAGGGACCCCGACCTGGATCAGTGTAAACCAGAGTCCTGCACCAGGACGGGTACCCAACAGGTAACCCCAAAAAAAGCTGTGCAATAGGTAAAAAAAAAAAAAGAAATAAAAAAAT